GGAGTATTATTACGTAATCTAATTTCAAGAAAATAATCCACTTCGTTGCTTATATTTATAATATTTTATTTTCAAAGATTGTGTATAAAAATATGTATAAAAGGTTATGTTTTGTTTGTATTTGTTCCCTTGTTGATTTCTTCGAATTTGGCAACTGCGGCCCATACGTCGTTTGCTAAAATTTGAGGTAGTTCGAAGGCTGCAAAATGCCCTCCATCATTGTAGTAATTTGATTGCACCAAATTTACGTATTTTGACCTTATGACCTTATTTGGAAGATTAATTAATTCGTTTTTGAACTTTGCACAAGCTGCCGGTACTGTTACAGGTATGCTAAAATAATAAAAAATATATTACAACTGTAAACACTAGGTACAATAAATGTGACAACTATTTTATAATATCTAGTTTAATTTCAGTATTTCAATCAATACTTAAAACTATGATAGTTTGAAAACCAATTAATTTATTGCAAACTTTTTAGACTATTATTTATTATCTGTTAGATTAAATACTTGCCTGTCTAAATTTAGAGACATTTGCTGTTTGTTGAAATTTTCAGAGTACAGCCTCACTGATGTCGTTATACTTCCGGTCACCCAGTATATCATGACGTTATCAAGCAAATCAGTGTACGTAAATTTTTGCTGAAGACCTCCATCTTCTTTATCCCTCCAATTTTTGTTGGTCCACGTTGAGAATTTTTCAATAATGTAAGCGGCTAAACCGACCGGGGAATCATTTAGACCAACTCCTAAAATTGTTTTTGTTTTCATCATTATAAATTAAGGATACTAAATAATGCGGGGTGAACCGAACGCAGCGACTTTTCGTCCGATGAGCGACCATGCCTACCGGGCTGGTTCGCCATTGAAATTGCCGGACTTGAACGTTCCGACCGTTGCACCGCGCAAAACCGAACCGTTGCACCGCGCGAAGTATTCTTCATTGTAAATTTTAATCAATCTAGAATAATATTGAAGTGAAGTTGATATCATAGATCTGTATAGACAAAACATAGTCTAGATTTTATAAAAATCCTATTATCTTTGGGTATTTGAATATTAAAGTCAAGAAGACTAGAGACAGGAGCCTAAACTACATCGGGTTTCGTATCGTTTTGCACGCCGCGTAAGAGCGTCAATAAATTCTGCTCGATGGTTCGTTGCGTAGTATGGTAGTGCGCATCCGATTTGACGTATGATGTATACAGGCAAGAAACAAATTGATGCGCAGTCGCACATCTTTCAACGGACTGTTTAAGTTATTTCTCCTGTATTCTATCTTCTTGACTAAAGATTGTAACAACAATTTTTGAATCGACTTACCAACGGTATCTGGTTTGGTAGACTGGATATGCAAATATCCTGATTCTGTTAGCATAAACGAAAACGTTTCGGACAAGGGGTATATTGATTTCTCGTGGTCATCTTCAATTATTAAAGAAGGAAAAACGCTTCCTATTAGCAACTGTATTCTTGTTATTGCACTGTTTACAAAACTGCACGCATTAGAGTGTAGACCTAGTACGTTTTCTGGGTACAATACGCCCATGATGCTAACAATTAGAGCGCCCCAATCGCCTCCTTGGATGTAGTACTTTTTGTGACCCAATCGATTCATCAATTTATTAAATATTTGCGTCATTTGGGCCGGCCCAAATCCTGGTTTCGATGCAGCGTCGGAGAAACCGTATCCTGGTAAAGATGGAACAATAACTTCAAAAACAAAGTCTCTTCCACTTTGTGGCTTTGTTAGAAGAGGAATTACATCATAAAATTCTCTGACGGATCCTGGCCACCCGTGAAATAATATTATTGGCAAGACCCGTACATTTTTTGGCAATGAAGATGATGGTTTGACGTGAATGAAATGTATATTGAGTCCTTGTATTTCAGTTTTGAATTGCGGAAACTTGTTCAGAAACTTTTCGCGTTCTCGCCAGTTGTACTTGTTTATCCAAAAGTCTACAATTTCACTGAGAAGACCTGTGTTCATTCCGTAATGCTGTTGAACTCCTTCTAATGGTGGGACGAATGGTCTATGATTTTTTAAACGCAATTGTAAATCGTCCAATATCTAAGTGATCAATAAAATAAACAATTTTATAACATAATAAAACTACTTTTGTAATAGTATCAATTTAGTGAACTAAAATATTCCAAATAAGAAACATTGGTATGTAATGGGTATAGAAAACCGATGATGGTTCCGTTCCTGAAGAAGTTGGATAAATTACTCGATGAAAAGCCCTTTCAAGAAGTTTTCTGATTTTCACCGATAAAATACCTAATAATAATAATTACGGTGAGAAACAAAATCTGATAATTTTTATAAAGTTATTCGTTTTATAATATTCTCAAAGGGGAGTTTTCGATATTTCTGGTTCTGAATGATAAAAGCATTTTGCCCACAGCAAAAATGATGCGGTAATTCGTTCCAAACGTAGGCTCTTAGTTTTTATGGTTTAAAGGCTATTTGGTCTAATTCAAACAGTTGAAATCGTGCTTTTTTTCAAAAACACTGAATATCTCAAAAATTACTACAGATAGATATAGGAAACTGTCTACACAAAGAAACCAACAGTGTAAAAATATACAGGGTATTCAATTTAGAATAACGAAGTTAGGTAGCGCTCAGAAGAAATGGAACACTCTGTATGACCGGTTTTATAAAACCATTTTTGTTATCAAAAGTATAATAACAGAGTTATGGGAGAAATCGCCTTAGGTGGAACACCCTGTGTAGTGTATTGATATATAAAATAAGTTGCTTATAAAGAAGGCCGGTTATAATAAATACCAGAAATTTTGGTACAATATTTTACAAATAAAATTTACCTTTTGTGGTATATCAATTTTAAACGGCACTATCGCTTCATTACTTTCTTTTGGAGATCCCGCGCCCCACCAACGTTCTTCTAGTTGAGGTACAGGAGGAACATCGAAAAGATCCTTTATTACCTTTGCCGAAAATAACACGAAAATCGAGGAAATTATGAACACTAATTTTCCTACGAAACCCATTTTTGATTCACTTTTCACTTTTCACTATTTTATTTAACAAAAAAATTACTTATTTATCCGATAAAATGTATTAATATTTTCGGATTCTTAACAAAAACAATGAATTGCAAATTTAAAATAGCGAATCATGCTTTAAATTCACATACTCAAGGTTACGCCAATAAATGATACTTGTTACTGTGGTTTCGTGTGTTTTGTATCTTGCTTGCCGCACTTTGGAGCCCATTATATAAGGCAGAGCCGGTCAAACTTTAACTTCGCAGGAGCCGCTACATGAGGTTAGTTTGGGTCACTCCATACCCTTCGATGAGTACGAGAGAGTAAGCAGTAATGAATAATTTTGTTTTGTCTTCATCCTGTAAACGAGTGAAGCCACTCTCGCAACTTAAATAATACCTACGAAAATTTTCGTTACTACGTTCGCAAAACTATTGGGTTTGGCTATGGAAGAGGGGACTCACCTACGAAATGGAAGGGATAAGAAAAGGANTATTTAATTGATTGCTTAGAATCATAAAGGTTTGTCTTTGAATTAAAAAAAGTAGTCTCTATCGAGTTGTAATTGTAATTGAATTGATGATTCAAAAAATTGAATGTATTGAGACTGTGTCTGGTATTCAACTTTTTCTTTTTGGTTCATAAAAGATCTGTAAAACACAAAAATTGAAAAAATAAAGTTGAACTGAACAATTTGTATAAAATTTAATCGAAATTTATGGCGAACAATAGTAATAAAATTAATTTGGATATATTACGTAAAAGTGGAATATAAAAATACTGAATTTAGTTAAGTAACTTGAAAAACATTTATATCTATCTAATGCGTTTCTGCTGTTTTATTTAATTAATTATTCGTTTGAAGGTTATCGGTTGGTTGTAATTGTTTACACGGGTCCAATTTACAATTTTTCAAGTTTTTAAAATCAAAAGTAAATACCTACAATCCTAAAACTAGAATAAACGTTTATTTAACATTCCACCTTGACCTTGACGAAAGAATTTAATGATGGATTATTTTAATTTCAATTTCCACGGATTTAAAAATTTTAAGTTTTAGGTTTTCATCGGATTTATATTTATAACGTAAATAAAAATGTTTTAAATATTGTATTAAATGAAACATCCATACAGTTGAAATGATTTAGTTATAATACGATAATATGATATATCTAACGCTATTTTTAAAGTTTTTTAAAATTATTCTCGATAAATGTAACGCCTGTATCTGTGTATTTTTTCAACGGCTTGCCAGATGTCATCAGCCAACATTTGCGGGACCTCCATTGCTGCGAAGTGTCCTCCATCAGGAATATCGCTCAATTGCAAAACATTCTTATACCTTTCAGCCACAAGACTTGGTGGAGTATAATAAAATTCATTTTTAAATAATGCTAAGGCTGTTGGTACCTCAATAGGGACACTAAAAGGGAAAATTTATCAAGCAATAGAAAATGTGAAAAAGAGAATAGTGAATTAACTGTTTTTTATTTAAAAAATCCGTGATTTTGATTAAATTTTATGAGACGAATTAATATATTAGTATTTCTTCATTTACAACAGTACGAAAATGAAACGAATCTTTTAAAAGATATGTTCATTTATGAATTATTATTTCTGTATTTATATTCCTTTAATAAAATAATAAAACAAATGAGTAACGAAGGAAAATTACTTAATGATTTAATTTTTAATTACTTATATGTAATTTTTTCATTTGAAAAACCAGAGATAAAAATGTTCAGTCTCTCAGTCTCTGAATCGAATCACTCCGGTGTCGCTGAGAGAGACTGTCAAAAAAACTGTTTAGCGTCTCTGAACGAGAGACTCGAATCTCTGAACGAGACAGTCGAATCTCTGAACGAGACACTCGAATCTCTAAACGAGACACTCAAATCTCTCAATAAGTGGTGTCTCGATAGACATGGTTTAAATTTTTTAAGTTCAACATATTTCAGAGATCCCACTCTTTCTACGGGAGACTTGAGTCTCTCAATTTTTCAGTTTTATTCATTCAGTCTCTCTGTGAGAGCCTCGAATATTTGAATTACCAATTTTATTGTTCGAGTCTTTCATACAGAGATTGTAAGAGATCCATAAAAACACCTAGGCAATAACTAAGAGACTGTAAAAGACTGTGAGAGACGCTCTCAAAGACGCTGAAAGACTCTGAAAGACTCTGAGAAACTGGAGAGAGACTGAAAATTTTTGTCTAGGGAAGTGAAAAAATTGTAAAGGATTGATTAATATGCCAGTAAATTCGATAGATAAATATTTATTTTTTATCGATACATACCCTTCTAACTGTAAGGTTCTATTCTCTTTAGAGAAGTTCTCTGCATATAAACGTACTGATGTGGTAATTGACTCAGTTACCCAATAAATCATGACATTATCCAATAGNCAATCCGACTGGAGAATCATTTAAACTTACACCTATGCTACTTATTAGGTGTAAGTAGCATAGGTATTATTCAAAATATAAGAAATATGTGATTATTTTTATGTAAATTTATGTGAAGAAATCATAAACTTGAAGAAAATACAATGATGCTTAGGAAATTGAAGAATGTTCGGACTTCCCCGAAGTTAAAACAGTAAAGATGTCTGAAATAGAGTGGAAGTAAAACAAAAATAAATAATTTTATCTACTAGTCTTTACCGTCTGCTATATTTGTACATATCAATGTTATTTATAAAGTTTGTTTCATCCTATCAGTTGATAAATTCAGCAAAAGTAAAACATAGTGGATTATACATGTAATTAACATATTGAAATAAAATATACAATAAATAAATGATGAAAATTTGTCCTTTACTTAGATGCAGACGTAAGACGCGTGCTTTAAGTAACAACCAAATTTATCTTAAGGCAGGCGAGGCGCTTCAAATTAAATTCAACTTTATTTTTTTTATTGAAACAAGAAATTTGTCTCTTTACAACGTTTGTAAAAGTAAAAAAAAATATTACAAAACATTTACCTGTATATTAGTTTTAAATTGAGGAAATTGATTTAAATAAATTTCACGCTCTCTCCAGTTGTACTCATCTTTCCAAAAGTCGATTATGTTTTTTAGGAGGTTTGTGTTAAAGCCATACTCCTGTGCGATGTTTTCCAAAGGAGGTGTAAATCTTCTGGTGTTTTTCAATCGTAATTGCAAATCATTGAGAACCTTATAAGTAATTACAGAAAGTGAGACTTTATTATTATTTATTATCAAGAATATATTAAATAAAATAATAAGAACCTACCTAACTTCTTTTGGGTTTTTAGACACTTGACAATTTTTGATAATACGTACAAGGAAAGTAAAGTTAAACAAAGCAGTTATGTGTTTCCAATTATAAATAGTAAAACAACAATTTTTATTTTTATTTCTTGACAATAAAAATTATTAAA